ATACCTTCAAACAAACATTCATCTATCCATCCATCCATCTAAACATTCGTATTTATCTAATTAAGTAGTACAGTACAGTTTTTATAAGAGAATGAAAGGGATATCAATATATTTTTATACATTCTTCAAGCAATGTTAACAGCAAATAGTTAAAAAGCAGGTATTAGGTCTTCTGTAAGTGCAACGTAAAAACACAAACCTCACCATTTTTAATTGAAACTACAATGATTCTTATTACTCATTTATTCTATTTGGTTTTACAAACGCGCAGTAAACATTATTGTCAATTCACGTGGCTTTTATCTAATAAGATAAGCATCATCTTTATATTATCTTTATATTAATGAAGTACATATTTGTGTTGCTGTCGCTACTAGCTACCACATCTCGTGGTTGAGGGGGAGATAGGAGATGAGAGGGGGAGGAGGTGATGCAGTACGACACGATTATGTCATCGAAGCACATCGATTACCCGCGTGGGAATGTGTCTGAGAGGTTCGTTTGTCAATCCCGTTAATACAGCAGTGTTTGTGACGTCACCATCACACGGAAATCTTCAATCCCTTATCCAATCGACGATAAACTCTATGAGAAAGTTCGTTTTTACACTTATATAAATGGTTTGGTAGTCAGTATGAGCATAATTAAGTTATTGCCTTTTTAGAGTAAAGAAATTTGTTGAAGTTTTGATTTTGTGTATGATAAATAAGATTATGCATGACCCCGTCATGTGTAGTCATATATCCCAAAATAAAAGAGAAGTGAGTATCAGAATATATATTTAAGGATAATATTTAACAAGTGAATCGCTAAGTTAAAAAAAAACACTTTCATAAAATTCTGTCTAAATACATATTCTTTCGAGCGATTTTTGACCCGCACATTTTAACATACGCATAGTATTTCTGTGCCTACTAGAACTAAATATGCTACTATGTTGTCAGTGACTTAAGCCAGAAGGTAGTCTTCCACGGACTTTTGTTTAGCGATGCACTTTGGTTTCGGGTGTTCTTAACGCCTTTCTTGAGTATTTTATATATCTGGATGGTATAAGTCCATTTGTCGTCGTGGTCAACAACTGTCACTTGTTTTGGCATCATAAATTTCCTTTTTAAACTCCTTTAATTAATCTTTAGATGTTTTAAATTGTAATTAAAGTACATATTTAATATATTGTTAATTATCCGCATCTAACTGTTGGTTAAGAAGGAAAATGTTTGCGAAAACTGAGTTACGAGACGCTCGGAAATAATTTAAAACAAGCTTAAAAATAAAAATAGGTTAAAAAAATAAACCTACGTTGGAATTACCATCGTTTCCTTTGATTCAAACATTACGTTTGTGTGTAAAATGTCTCTATATGTGTTTATTATATTAATATAAGTATCAACTTTTTAATCATATAATTCGCCGAAATTTAGGGTGTAATTAATACAGCTAATGAACTTTGATAAATTCCGCACCAATGTTGACATGGATTGTTGTTAAATTATATTTATAAAGTAGGACCGCACCGGAAGGCCTGTTTGTTATTTAATTCTAACGATATCCTCATTACTAGGAAAAGCGAGGTGATTAGTAGATTTCGTCCATTTTAGGTATTTTCGAAATAAATTCAGTTAGATCATGTTTATTTATGTTATATAAAAAGTCTTCTAATAATAGCCAAATGTAGATCGAAGCCGCGTAAGTATGTTTTCCCGAAGACGGACTGCTGATATGGTCAAAGTTAGGCTACTGAAAAAGCAGCAGACAACCGATCATTGTGGCGAACAACAGGAGACACCTATCATGAGAAATGAACAATCTCAAGTTGGTTACTAGTAGTAATATTCCATGCTTAGTTCTTTATGTCAAAAGAGTTAGTGTTTTGTATATTTCCATTGTTTTTATACTCGTCTTTTGTATTTTTTCTATAAGTGTTCTGATGTCAAACTTTTGTGTTATGTTCATGATTGTCAATACATTACTCTTCTTAAAAAACAATTGAAAAGTCAATATATTTGTAGATTTTTTTAACATATATTATATAAGAATTCAAAATAATTTGTATAATTGCTTCCTCGTATGAGGCATAATTAAAAATGTCTGATTGGATTGTTTGAGAGGATAGCGCGATTGCGAATGCAACCAGCGTATAACGACCGGCGATGCAACAGTAAATTTTGCCGTTTTTACTTTGCGATGTATTTATTCGACTTTGTATCAGGTGTGGTCGATTAAGTTTGATACAGACATGCGACAATTTAAATTTTATTTGACTATTGACCACAGAGACAATATACTATGACGATAGTAGAAAATGCTATGTTTAAATTAACTTTATGTTACCGACAAGAATGTATGGTCAAATGTTCAAAAAATCAAAACTTAAGTAATAAAAAAATATGGAAGAGCCTGGGACAAGCATCTGGCCGTATTTCAAGACCGCAAATTTTTACGATAAAAAACAATATTGCTGAACCGCCGTTATTCATAAATAACTTATAGTTTAGTAATTTTACTAATATTATAAATTCGAATCTCTAATTGGATGGATGGATGGTTGTTTGAAGGTATCTCCAGAACAATTGAACGGATCTCGATGAAATTTGGTATACATATATAACATAGCCTGGAATAACACATAGGCTACTTATTATGTTTTTTTTTGTTCCGGACAGAAGCGCGACCGACAATTAGTATAGGTATAATTGCTAGTTTGTAGGAAACCTTACCGGCATATTCATTGTACTTTCAATGGTCGCTAAAGTCTTGTACTCGCAAGTAATTAAATAGCATGCGATTAAAGATCCAGGCGAGCGTGAAATGAAATCTAAAGGCCCAGTGTATCGCGTTTGTTTTTACAATTCTTTTGTACCATTTACATATTTTATGTTTATAATTTAAGACGCTATTATTAGCATGTATTCTTTATTTTAGTTCTTACCGCATGGATGTATCAAGTTAACATTTGAAATTGCTGATTTTGTTTTAGGTCTTCACAACATTTGGAGAATTTTTTTTATATGCTATGCTTTAATACTCCTATTGAAATAAGCTGATTAAAAAAAATGACAATTATATAAACACGAAGTTATAGATAACACTAGTTATCATTCACGACTTACTGAATAAGCATTCATGAAAATCGTCAAGCCGTTTTGGATGTATGGTAAGTAACATTGTGAAACGACCATTTTATATATACGATACTCTACAGATAATGTGTTATTGTTGTTCACTTTCACTAATACCTTACTTAGGAATCGCCTTAAAAATCACGTCTTAGTCATCTTATTTAGTGCATTTGCTTACACATGACAATTTCATAAAATTGCGTCATATTATAAGGTAGATATGCGCGTACAAGGTATTATATGCGCTTGATCTTATGAAGAGCAATCAATAATACAAACTATATGATAGCAATTATAAGGAAATTATAGATGACCAAAGTTATAAGTAACTAGCTGTCGCCCGCGACTCTGTCCGTGCGCGATAAAAAAAAGCGATAGTAGCCGATTCTCAGACCTACTCAATATGCTCACAAAATTTCGTGAGAATCGGTCAAGCCGTTTCGGAGGAGTATGGGAACGAAAATTGTGACACGAGAATTTTATGTATAAGATGTAGAAACTTGTATGAAGTTGCATGTTCCGTTTGAGGGCATTTTCGTGGAACAAAATGGTACTGTTTAATTGTATCGTAGTCGGTGTACTGTGACCCGGTGCTTCGGTGCAATGGCACTTAATGCAATGTTTTTGCGATCACCCATTAGTATACTGTTTACGAGGCGCTCTGCACATTGCCGTCGCACGATATTAACAGCTTTAATGACGACTTTAATTGTTTTTTTTCCGTTTACTGGTATATTTTGCAAAAATAAAAAATATATTATAGTTTCATAAATGATTTTTGAATAAACTTATAGGTTTTTTTTACAAAAATTATTACGGACAATAAAATTTGAAAAAATTATTTTTAAATCAACGTTTGCATTAAATTTTTAAGCACTTTTTTTACCAAGTTTAGTGATAGATTAGATCAAAATAATCAATGCATATTTTATTCCTAGGAATTAAATATATGACATGTAGAAAAATATTTAGTTACTATTATGTATCACTATCAGATCTTTTTAACCAGTAGACCAATTAAGTAAATGTCATAATTAGTGCCCACAGATGTCAAATGTTTCCTGTTCCATAATATATCACGCGAAAGAAAATCATGGTTAGCAACTGAAAATGTCAAGGATTGGTGTATCATTAGAATTTCTCTAAAGTTCTGCACATCTTGCTCTTTTAGACATATAAATATACATGTATAGTAAATAGTTTCGTTTCAAAAATGAATTATAAAGCAATATAGCTTATATTGCTTTATAATTCATTTTTGTGCTTTGCGCCAGATCTCAGGAATATATCTGCGTTATGTCAAGATATATTTGTTTTTCGGGCCGCTTTGATAAAATTAGTTAAATAACTACATAGTCTAATCGATTTTAGTGCTTTACTCTACTTCCTCTATCAATAATTCTAATTTAAGTAAATAGTATCATAACCGAAGCCCTAAAGCAATTAAAAAAATGTGTTTTCACCTAAATGTTTAACGGGAACGTACATTTTAAATAATATGCTGTATTAATAAAATGATGAAACAAATGGAAGAGAGCCACGACGACACGCTAGCCTCGATTTGGTCGAATCGAAACTATAACGAGTGTATAGTCGCCAACTTTCAGCGAAACGCCGTCGTAAAGCGCGATATCCCGCTGCGAGAACACTTTATTTTCCTATAAAAGCGTTTTATCCACGTATAAAAGCTTAAATCCGCGCGGAGCTTTCTCCCGGCGGCGAGTCGGCAAAAAGAGCATTAGCGCGTCCCTCGGCAACATGGCAGCGGCACGCCCCGAGCGGGCCCGCCC